CAAAATGTAACAATAACTTATCCAATGTATTACAGTGTTTTTGCAAGATTTTTCATACGTCAGGCATATGCTGGCTAAATCGTCAAGGTGTGACCGGCGCTTTATTAGTCTGGCATTTAGTGTTGCAAGACTCCTCATAACAGTGTACAGTTTCCCAACAGTTTGCCAATGGCTGGGTACATGGGGAGCAGCTATGTGAAAACACCAAGGTTCATCCTCTCCTGAAGCCATACAGGGCTCTGGCTGAGAAGGTAGAAATGTCATAAATAAATGAAATGTCATATTTAGATAATACAAACTTTGAACTGACTGATCCCAGGAAGACTTGCCTACAAAATGTGTAGGCTGTAATATAAAACATTAGGCCCAACAAATTGGTTTTAAGTGACTTCCTTTATGCTATACAGGAAAAGGATGCATATCGCTGGTCCATCAAAGAGACGATAAAGAGTATGTTGGCCTTTGGATGGACCATAGAACGTACCAAAGAAGGAGATGCATTCGGTATACATGCCTGTGCTCGCAGGGTCTCTCAGTCCGGTCAGGTGTGTCTACCAACCTTCAATATTAACCTATAAGCTTTAGGCTCTTTGCAGTGAGAACACAGCCATTAATCTTTTGTTTCTGTAGCTTTCGTTTGAAGGAGCATCTACCTTTAGCCCTAAACCTTTGGACATGAGCAGCATCACCTTATCATGGGAACAGTGTGTAAGTCCTGTGTTGTTATTTACTCTTTTTAAACACCAAAAGTTCAAGTTTGCATTGAAGTTCTGTTATTTAAGAATTACATAAACACTTTTTGGTAGCAAATTATTTCCAAATTTTTAGATTCTGTCCAAAATAAATGCAAATTCTAAGGTTTTTTGGGGGAATTTTTGTGCACACACTCAAATAATGTCTTTACAAATACTATTATTTGTAGTACGAGCCACTGTCTTACTGAAAGTTAAAGCTCAGTGTATCTGAACCTCTGACAGTTTTTTTTTAAAAGTATTCCCTTAAACTCTGGCCATTTCTCTATCATTGCCCACATTCCCCTTGCAGCATGAATCCAAGTTGGGATGATGTCTTCAGAGTGATTTTCTCCATGCAGATTTTTGATTGCTGGCCAAAAACATATGTGGTTTGATCTGACCAGAGGATCTTTTCCCAAGTTTGCTGTGTTCTGCAGGGCATGGGAAGTGTTAAAACAGTAACTCCTGTGGCTTTCTCTTAAAATGTCTTTTTCCCGTCCTGTTATAGAGCCCATATATGTAAGAAAAGTAGTTACCCTTTCAACAGACATGAGCTATGGATTTCTGCAACTGCTGTTTTCAGAAGTTTTGAAATCCTTCTGCAACTAATGCCATCATTAAGGTTGCGAAGGTCTTGAGAAGGTCTCGAAAAAGCTCTTTACTTTTACCTATCATTAGATGTTTCTTATGCGATAGAGACACTTTTTTTAGGCCATCATTTTGGACTAAACCAGCTGATTTGAGCTGACAAGGGGCAGGATTGGTCTCTAATTACTGAAGGATTTCAGCTGGTGTCTTTGCGTTCCATGCGATTTTGCACCTTATTTTCTACACATGATCAATACTTTTCCCTGTGCCATTTTACATTATCATACATGATTAAATTTCTGAACATCAGTGGTTTGATTTTCTTGTATGTGTGGATTGCATGGATTATTACCTCTAGAAATACACTTATTGAGAAAAATATATATTTATAATTATATATATATATATATATATATATACCACCATTTTTGGCTTATAAAAACAACACAAGAAATCTAAATGTGATGTACCTATAGTTATTTAGTCACTACCCTGCCACAAAAAAAAAAAGGGTACCGGTAACAAGATGTTTTCAGATGTTACTTAATGGGTATTTAAAGTCCATATGTAATTGATTAGATTTCAGTATAAACAAATCTGTTTTGTGAAGACCTTACAGGTTAGTCAGTTAGTCAACAAACAACATCACGAGCATTATAACTTAAACTTTAAATACATTTAAACTTTAAGTTATAATTGGACAACATTGGAAAAAGTCCAGTAGGGTTGATTTGTTTCGCAGGAAAAAGGGTTGTCTGTTAAACAACAATAATCTTGTTGTCTTTAGGCTATGGCTGAACAGTTGGCTGAAAACTACCATAATGCCTGGGCTAAGACTAAAAAGATGGAACTTGAAAGGAAAGGTACTGTACCGTTGGTGTAAATCATCTACATCTCTTTTACTCTTGGCCTACAATATTGTAATTTTTTCACTACATTTGCCCTCGCAGCGGGAGGTAATTCCATGCTGGTGCCATATGATGCTCTGACTGCCAAGGAGAAGACCAAGTTCAGGCAAAAAGCTCAGGAAATACTGAAGTTCCTTTTGCTCCATGGCTACACTGTGTGGAGGTAGGTACCAGCCAGGTTGATTATGACTGGGAAAATATGACCTGGATAACTTGAATCTACTAACTTTAATAATTCACACGTCTTTTCTCTTTCTTCTACTGAAAAACTCCAATAAAAAAAATAATAATAAGAAAAATTATGGATAATGATGTTTGGCACATTCCTTATAGGGATCGAAAACCCATGGAAATGGACTTCCCTCCAACTGCAAATTGCTTTGGACACATTTTCATCCAAAGGATGCTGTATTACACTGAGGAGGCTCAAGAGAACATGCTAAAGCTTGGTAACACATTTTTACATATAAATTTCAAGACCTTACAAAACAATCACAACTCATCAACAAACTACAAGTAATTTGTGGATATTCTTTTTGATACCACACATTTGTGGGCAATTCAAATCACTACATATTGTAGGTGAACCCTAAATCACTTAGGCTACATTTGTTGTATGCAGATCAGACCATGTTTCCTTCAACAATACTCACATTACTGTTTAATGTTCAAGTAGCTCTTGTTTTTAAGGTTTTCTTCTGTGGATCCAATCTTTATTATCTCTCAAGGACCAATTTTAATCATTTTAACTCTTTTTAATATTTTGTTGTATTTGGTTTGTGACTATATTCACTTCCTAAAGATAAGAAATATATTTAGATCTGAATTAATGAAAATTAAGTCAGAGTACACAGCAAAAGGTTGATAGAGTTAAGTAAGAAACATTACATTTGGGCACCAGTAAACAATACAAAAGAGAAAAAAATGAATGGCGTAGTA